GTAACAAGACAGACACTCAGTCCACGTCTTGCGAAGGCTCATTAAACGTCCCTCCGCTTTATTTTGCATATCTGTGAGATGGATGAGCAAAGCCATTTAAAGTCAGCAAGGCAACACTCACAAGAAGATATTTGTTTACTTTCTCTATTAGATATTATTATCTAAGCACAGCCAGTCAGCTGGAGAGTGAGTTGTGTGTTTTGCAATAAGCCTTTGGTCCTTTAAGACGCATGATGATGATTTTTTTGCACAAACTCTGCCCTTTGAAACGTTTCCCATTTGTCTTCTATGCAGTTCTATTAGCTAGACCAGTCTGCACTGGGGATTCATTTATCACAGAGAGGTAAAGCTTTTTCACCTGCACAGACAGTCCCACATACAAAGAGCCACAAATGATTTATATTCATCACATCAGTCCAGGCACCCCTGGTCAATTTACTTAATAGATTCCAAGTCCAGCCATATTATTTGCATGGCGCAGGCTCACTGTGTGCTTAAGAAATATCCAGCAATGAAGACACTGCTCCTGACTTTGCTCCCAGGCAGAACTCCAGTCACCCTGGCAGGTACTGACTGGAGAGGGAAAAGTGAAGAAAGGTAGTTTGACCAAGTAGCTCCAGATTTAAAGGCTTATTCTATCATTTATCCTTCAGTAGCTTGCATCGGCAGCCCATCATGTCAGAGGACATGGGGGGAGGTTTATCTAAGCAGTCCAATAACATCTGACTGTGAGGCATTCTGTGGAATATGAATAAGCATGAGTAATGTCAGACAGTTGAAAATATAGTAAAAAAAAACAAAAACAAATCTAAGAGGCCACAGTGTGATGTTGTTAAATAATAAATATGAGATTGAGAGATGTAGACTGACACTGTGGGGCTGAATAGCATTATTTCTATGTGTGTGTGTGTGTGTGTGTGTGTGTATGTCATGCTAAAATATGGCATGTGTTCCTCCAGACACACCACATACTTAATAGACATGAATTCTGTGCTGACACTGACAGCAGCTTTTTCCAACAGGTTTTGCTTGTTGAAAAATACTGACCATTCACACATCACCTCCACTGTAGCAGTCCAGAAAAATGCTCCTGTGCTCAATGGAAAAAGATTCAATAAGGTTTGTTGGAGTGTCAACCAACTTTAAAATTATTTTCAGTAATGAGAGACCTCAATCACATTGCTTGCAGTTTTCTAATATAAACTTAAAGCATTCTGTTAGCTGTGCATATTCACTGCATGTTGATATACATACAGTATAAGGATTGGAAAGTGATAACTCATAGTACACAGTCACAGAGATGGAGCCGTCAAAACATGCACCAGAGCCTGTAGGGGCGGATTATCCAAGCAGCCAACATATGCTAAGCTGGTCTATTGGCCAACTGAACTTTAATGCATTATTTGCAGTCTGAGTCATTCCTTAAGCAGCTAGCGGCAGTGCCCGACTGATATTCAATAATATCCAGTCTTTGTCCCTGGGGGACCATAACAATGACTGAGCTGATATATGCAGACTTGATATTTCTCAGGCAGACTGTGTGAACAAAATCTGAAAATTGTTTATTAGTGTAACACATCAACTATGCACCCAATTAATTCCCTAATCAGTTGGTGGGCTTTTACCTTACTCGGGGTGCACTTAATTTCCTTTTTTATCAAGAACCTTACTGAGATTTCACTTATGCATTATGCATGTCTATTCTAAAGATATATTATTCCATAAACTTCTTGTCTGAATAACTAAAAAGTGCAGTTTGTTCACCACACATCACTGATTCAAATTCATCTTAATGACTTCTGTTTGGAAATGTTATCAAATCAAATCGAGTTAATTTATGTAGCAAATTTAAAAACAACTGCAGTTGACCACAGTGCTGTACAAATTAAAAGAACGACACACAAATATAAGCAATAAAACAGAATAGGGCGTCGGTGGCTTAGTGGTAGAGCAGGCGCCCCATGTACAAGGCTGTTGCCGCAGCGGCCCAGGTTCGAGTCCAGCCTGTGGCCCTTTGCTGCGTGTCTCTCCCTCTCTCTCTCCCCCCATCACACTTCACTGTCCTGTCAATTAAGGGCAAAAAATGCCCTAAAAAATAATTAAAAATAAAAAATAAAACAGAATAACACTGGCAAGAACAATTACATGCGCAAAAAGATTATAAAATACTAAAATATTAAAACCACTACGAACAACCAAAGGCCATTGAAAACTAATTTAATATTTGTCTTTAAAGTGTCAATGACGGGGAAGCATTTGATTTAGGGTGGAAGGCTATACCGCAAAGTTACAATCTCCCTTACCCACCAGCCTCGATGGTGGGACAGTTAAAAGACATGAAGATCTAAGAGGTTGAGTTTTTGAGTTGTATTTGGAGTATTTTACATCAGTGATCTAGTAAAAGTAGGTATATAACAGGTGTTTGAGTTTTATGGCAACGAAACAAATAGCAACATGAAGGAAAAGGAAATTATTGTTTCTTTTATAATGTTTGCTTTTGTGTTTGTCACTGATTCAAGATGTTATTGATTCTACTTTATATGCAAATCCCGTCTTTGTCAGACTGTGAATAGTGGTCTTACCTGAATAATAATCGAATAATAATCAACTTGACAGCTTGTCTCCTTAATGGTCCAGTTCTCAATTAGCTTGGGTAGGCAGTCTCTTCCAGATTTCTCCTAATGCCAGTAACTGATTTAAGAATTATTCTCGGTGGATAAAGTGAATGGTTGTATTTAAAATTCATGTTTGGGAGATTGAAAGCTCTGCTTAGCTGGATTTCAAAACGCCTTGGCTGATGAAAGTAGCCAAGAGACAACATCTGTGAATCTTGTGTGTGAGTTTTGACGAGACTAATCTTTTTCACATAAAGATTCCTTATGCTCTCATTACATGCGTGTCTGAAGTTATTTAAAGTAATGGCACCAGACTGTTGTTCACTGTTGCTGGACTGCAAAGAGATTTTTAATTTCAAGACAAAACTGCATGCAATATAGATGATTGTTGGTGGTTGTAATGACTGCCTCCATTTATTATACTGAAGCACTGCACTCAATTTAAACACATTACTGTTCATCACAGAGAAAGGAAGAGTGGTGTGCGAGGAGAAAATGAGAAATGGATGAAGTAAGTCATTTGCTTTGATAAGCCCCCACAACAGTCGGTCACTGTGCAACTACACTGACTGGCTTCCTGTAATATCTATTCTTGTTGTCAATATCTCTGTTGTTCTCTCCATCTTGCATGTTGGCACTGCCATTGATCTGTGTCAGCAGGACAGATTCTGATATGAACAAGGGAGGGGGTTCAAAGCTGTTGTGCCATAGTGAGGAACAAGAGTGTTGGTGTGTCACAGGGAAAAACGTGACAGGGTAAGGGTTGTGTGTTGTGCACAATCCCTGTTAAAAATACTGTTGTCTTTATGTGTCAAGTTCTGCAGGTCTATATGGATCGGACGCCATTTATCATGCTCAGCACAGACTGACAACGCTTCACAGGAAGACGTTAAGTTCAATGACCTTGGACGTGGCTGATAGAGATATATCCCAAATCAATAAATTCCATCTGTTACCTGGGGCTCTGCTCTCGGTCTGTGCACACAGACCTGTTGTGGCTTTACATTTCACTCTCCTCCTATGTCTCATTTCTCACACTGGAAAACAAGCAAAGATCTTGAGTCCCATAGAGGTTGAAGGAAACATTTACTGAACCACCGTGTGGCTTATTTGTTGTTGGTTAAGATGTCACTGATTGTAAGCTGTAAACTATAGTTGCTAATTTACTGACTCTACTCGAAATGATTAAATCTATATTTGTTAACATTATTAGTTCCCCACAAAAAGCTATAAAGGACTGACCTTAGTCTATTGAATTCTGTTTGAAATGATCAAAGGTTTAATAGGCCCCGTTTTTACAAAGACAAATGGAGCTCTATTAAAGGACCGCAACAGTAGTTCTGTTTGTTTTGGCCCATTAACTACAAACTTCTACTTGCATTCTTTAGTTTTATGCTGTTATGTTATTATTATGGGCAACAACAATCCTGTTAGTTTGGCAGAAAATCCAAATATAAGTAGGCAGGTCGTAGAATTTAGTGGGTTTAGGGTTTCGTCTATTTAATCAATATCACACCAACATTGTTTTTTCGTGTTCTAATCAAACTAAAAGGATTTTGATTGGAGTATTAATCAAAACTGGGACCCCTGAAATTTTTTTTTGCATAAATGATTTATAATGCAAGCTCTTTGTGCGTGAAAAGAAAGGTATAGAGCTTTTTTTTTTTTCCTTTGCTGCACTGCAGATTTACAGCATAATAAATGAGAGCCTCAGATTGCCTGAAATAGTATCATTAAGCTGTTGTTGGTGGTCTCTCACCTTATCTGATTGTGGTGGTGCATAGGGAAATTTGACAGTTTGACAAAACAATCACTCAGTTGTCTATGCTCTTCAAATCATAATGCTTTTTTCTTCAGTTCGTTTTGGTAAATCATCTCCTGATCCTCTAATCCATTATATGGTTTTGCAGTGAATAACAGCAGTGAGTCGTGAAGAAAGAAGTCTGATCTTTCCATTTGAAATGTACATGTGTGTCGCTACACACTGTTTGTGTTCATATTTGCAATCCAGCTTGAACTAAACAAGACTGGACAGGTGTACATTACTTTGTGAAAGCAGTTTGTTTGAAGACGTTTTTAGCACGTAATTAAGCCGACTAGCCTTCAGAAAAAGACAAAAGCGATTGTGTGGCCATGCATGATAAGTGAGCCTGCCTCCCTAGTTTCTTTCCTCCTGCCTGAATCAGTGATGCCAGATGCCAAAGCTGACAGCTCAGTTAACATGGTAATCATGAGATCAATGAGCGCTAAATGATCCAATGAAAGACACGTCCATCATTTTAGTGTGACTCTGCAGGGAAAAGGCTACCATGTGATATATATCAGTGGTTTACACCAATTTTTTTAAACATTAACTTTTATTTATTTATGAATACTGTCCTCTGACTGACAATGGAATTACTCCTGCGACAATAACAGCATTCATATCAGAATTATTTAGGGCTATGCATATTGTATCAATGTTGTGATATGATATTATATCGATACTGTAATGCGTGCCTCATTTGATGTATGTCAAGTGATGCTCCAATGGCACACTGCAGGTATAGGATGAATCAGAATCTGTATAAACTACTTTAGGGAAAATTATGCTAATTACGTTGGCACAAATTTGTATGCTTTACAGATACATCTCATTAATCTTCTATACATTTCTATTTGAGTACCCTAGAATGTTACATACTGTAAGGCAGAAGGGGAAATGCTGGGTGCGTGCTGCTGCTCTCATCAGTTGGTTTGTAGTAAAGCCACAGGGGACAAGCCATCTCATTTCATCTTTTCTTTCAGGTGGGTGAACGTCACCTAAAGAAAAGCAAATCATAACTCTATACCATGTAAATAAGTGCTTGTTAGGTTTACGTTGCAAGTTAAACTTCATGCACAGTAGATGTCAGTAAATGTGTCATGATGACACAGGGTGGGCATGTTACACTAACATTAACTACCACTCTGCCTCACTTGGTCGCTGGGTCCTCATTTGACCCTTCTGAAATGAAGTTGAACTGAAACAGTGCAAATTAGGGGTGACAAAGTAGTTTGACATGCCTTGAAATGCTTTTGGTGCGTGTTCGACCACTTATAACAACAGGTGTACTTCAAAACGCGCCGGATGCTTTCAGTGCGTTTGGGCTTAAATGCTGTCTTTTCCTGTTTCAAAGGCTGCATTGCATTAAAGTGATGTAATTTTCTGAACTTACCAGACTGTTCTTGCTGTTCTAGTATTTTTCCTTTACCCACCACTTAGTCATTACAAACACATTACTGATAATTATTGATCAAAAAACTGGTTAAATCATTTATGAAAGCACCAATAGTCAACCCTGCAAAAACACAATATTGATAGAAATATTTTGTCAAAGATATTGTGATATTTGATTTTCTTTAAATTGCCCAGACCTTGAATGATTAAATTGCTTCATGCAGTAAATACACAGGAAGCTGTCATGTTTTCTTGTACATTGTGCACTTTAGTCACATCTTCCCTGGCCTTTTATGTTACAGCAACTTGGTTGCTACAATATAGCTCAAAAGTTGGTTACATGGATAACAAGAGCATTACCTCTGATTTCAGCCACAACTCTATTCATGCTATCTTTGGAATCACTTTAATCTCTGAGCACACTTCTTTGAAGAGACTGCAGACTTTAAGACAGGGAGCTTTCCCAGATGACAGCTCTCACAACTCTCATAAAACCATGTCCCTGAATGTCCTTGTCCAATTACTAATCCCACATGGGGGCTGTTATTCCACCCAGGAAAACGGATCCGACATAGCTACCCTGATCCCATCTGATGTACCAGTATGACTGGGTTGTCTGCGATCACAGAGACCCAGCAGGCCACTGGGGGAAGGAGGGCGACCTGAAGTGGTTTGACAAGGGACAGAGCGTGACTCTAACCCGCTTTGCACCCTCCTCACCCTCACACCATTTGACATGGACTCACTGTCAGAACAGATAACATTTAATACAGAGCAGCGAACCACCCAGCACAGATGGACCAGAGTCCAACACACACACTGCAACTGACCTCTTTCCACCACTACAGATATTCATATGAATTCATATGGAAAAGTTGCTGAAATAACTAGGGCTGTACCCAAATATTCGGATATTCGAATATTCGTTTCTATGGGTAGGTATTCCTTATGAAAATTTGGTATTCGATATTCTTTTTATTATTAGTATTATTATTATTATTTATTTATTTATTAACATTTTTTTTTGGTGCTAAATGTAGTCTTTTTGTTGTTGGTAAATGTAGGTTATCAATAAAAATCAAAACTTTTAAATTGCATTGTTAAAAATGTGAAAATATAGTATAGCCTACCAATTGCGCTTGTGTGGACGGCATGCTTGAGCGCATCCGTCTGAGGCTGTGGATCAATGCCAAGTTTTACCACTTTATCACTATTCCCTCTAACTTGTAGCTGTTTTTTCGTTATCTTTTGAATTTAATATGAATTATGGAACCGTTTTTGTCAACGTTTGTTTCCCCTGTTTTGTACAATAAATTATTGTTTAAAGTTTCAACAAGTTTCTTTTGGAGTGCGTGACACAAGTGTGTTTTGAAAACGACCGCAGACTGTCACCTGCTCAACGCATCAGTACCTTCGGATGCCATGACAGTAATAGCCAATAATGTCAAAATATCATTTACAGACCAATTTAACAGACGATCACTGCTGCCCGACCTGCAGGTCCATTTGCGGGTCCCGCGGGTTACGGGTTGACCCGCGCATCACTACTCAGCTCAGTCTATAAAGGCTGTACACACAACAGTAAGGCTATAGACATTATATTCTATTCAGGCCGGCAGAACCGAACCAGCAGCGCATCAGCTCTACAGTGCACGGCACTGCTGATTAACCATTTTATTGCAGCACAGAGTGTCTGCCAGCAACCAATTACTTGCAGAGGCTTCCTACAACTTGTTTCAACGGTTCCGATTTAATCAGAAGACAAATTAAACAGGATGACTAGCCAATGTGAAAATCAAAAGAAAGCATAGAATAATGTACTGAAGGAGACTGACCATCACATGTTTTTTGTGGTTTGAGAGCAAAGATCCGGTTGCTGCTGTGCAAAACTCTGCAATACAATTAGGTCCGAAAAAAACACGGAGTCTTAACCAACCATACCGTTAAGATAAGCATTTACAAGTACATTTTATGCAAATGTATTACATATAGCTGAGTATTCAGTGTGCTGAAAGCTGGTGGTGTGCATCTTATCATTTACATGGAATTAGGGCGCTAACCAGATAATGAGACACGCAACACAATGGAAGGCAAATTTAGATTGCCATGCCACTAACTAATGGACATCTTTAAACCTAATGTGATTTTCTCTCTTTCAACCCAATACCACCCTGACTGATGGACAATTGGAATAGGGTAATTTCTCCACCAAAATTGCTTTACAGAGTTTTTTCTTTCCCAAATCGAAGTCTTCTGTTATGTTTGTTTAGCAGAGCTGGGAGTTGAAAAGAGGAAAGGCTCTGGTGCTGTCGATACCATTAAAAGTTCATTCAGTGTGTTTATTGTGTCTTTGGATGATGAATCCCAACATCATTAATAGGACGGGTCCTGTGTGTGTATGGATGAGCAGACATATGGTTGCCAGTACCCCAGACCGCCAGACTCATAAATCACCAGTGACAATAGATAATGAATGCAGGCCTATCAGTGAAGATTGGTTTGCCCATCTCTATATCAGCTCTGTGAAGTGATGGTAAAATTAATATTTACAAGAAAATTTGTGTTCAACATGAATGAACTACATGGGCCAGTGTCCAAGTATGAATTACTTAGGACCAGGATGAAAAAAATATTTTGCTACAGCTACAGTGTGGAACATTTGCCCCAAAATAACAATAAGCTAAAACTAACTTGTCTGAAATGTTCTGAGAAACATTTATTTTGACAGAAATGCAGCTAGGAGAGGGTTGGCTTGTTTTCCACTCTGCATTTATCCTGATTTTCTGCTCTTTCTACCTTGCCTTCATTACTGTTCCTGGTCAGCACATCTGGGCCCCGCCGCCAGACAGATGGAAAGTAGATGAGGCCTGTCTTTAGTCTGGGGACTAAGCCAGGTGTTCAAAACTTACTTCAGGAATATATTAGTACGATCAAGTCCCGAAAGATATTACTAAGGGCCTCTGGCAGAGCCTTAGAGGCTTCAGTGTCTGGTTGAAAAGCCCAAATATGATTGCAAAGCCTTGAGGCAATATTCAAAGGTAAATTATTCTTGCCATGCAGGTTAATATTATACCACAAGTTGTCATATACTGTTTAAAAAGCTGACATACTAAGAGAGGATGTTGGTGTAGTTCGTAATGGTAGTTAATGAGGCACATGAAGGGTTTACCTTCACTGTCAAATCTCTTGCACTAAGACTAGTCTATAATGACTTTGCAAATGACGCAGTAACAGGAAGAAGTTTGTGCTGTTGGACTCCACCTATCTGTCTATATCTTCAGAGAGAAAGTTCCATTCCATTCAACGTCAATCTTTCAACCTGAGTATACGACTTATCTCTTTCTCATTCCTTTACACACACACACACACACACACACACACACACACACACACACACACTTGCATGCAGATACACACACAAGCACACACAATTTCGCTTGAAATCCCTACCTAAATTATCCTGCAACTCTGGGGGGCTGTGAAACTGCCAAGTTGATGGGAGGGCAGAAGGGGATTGTGGGTAATTTCATGTCACATTTCCAGCAGACTGATGTCTCTTTGGACAGATAATAGCCTACAGCTCACAGTGACAGAAAAGGCAAAGTCATAGCGCACCATCTCTTCAAATACTCTACTTTTCCCCACATTTCTAGAAATGGCTCTATGTTTTATTTCTGAGGGATATTTGCAATTTTACCCCATTTATGAATTTGCATGGACATGTGGAAATTGCTTGTTTCTCTGACTGTTTGCATTATTGACTGCCTAGTCTCATTGCTTCCGCTAACCATACACTGTCATTACCACGTGAGTAGCATGGTGACAACGCAGTCATCATTCCTCCATTGGACAAAATGAATTTTTACCTCCTAAAACTTCTGTTAGCTCTGTCAATTTGTCACTTCTGTCAAGTGAAACTTCTTCTGTCAACCCTGTTTCTTTTCTCTTTGTTGTTGGACGTACCATTCTGTTTTGTCTATCTGCTAAGCATTGAGTTGCAAAGTGAGTTTTTGTGTCAATGTTTTCGTTTTAAAGTTAAAGTCCTCCATTTTCCGCAGTGGTAATGTTAGCTGACTGACAGTATAAGCACCATCAAAGCTTGGACGGACTTTCACGATTAAATCAGTACAAAAGATGAACAACTGATTAGAAAATGTCAGTTAAAAAAAAAAGTCCAATATGTGCCTGTGCATATAAGAGAAGATGTTAACCACAACTTCTAATGTTCTGTCTGCTATTTTATGGTCTGTAAGGTGACCTTGGGTGTTTTGAAAGACACCTTTTAAATTAAATGCATTATTATTATATTATTATTATCATTAATGTGCATTTCGGTAAGAACCATCCAACTGCTAAGCTATAAAATTTGTTACATGGACTGCTACCAAGAGGCAGTAGTTACATAGCTTATTGGGTTTTTAGATAACTACTTGAACAAGCTCCAGTTTAAATTAGCTCACTTTGCATCAAGAGTCGATTTTTATTGTCTGTGGTTTGCCACTATTTGTTTTAAGCCAAGCTGAATCTGTGCATACATTATTCAACAACAAAGCCATCTCACTGTCAGTCAATTCACAGAGTCCAGGGCTGGGCAATGTGATAT